TTTATTATTTCTTATTTAATAAACCTATCCATAAGGACAATTGTATTTATGTAACAAATATTGATTCAACAGTTGATGATATTGATATTATTACATATTTCTCAAAATTTGGAGAAATAGAAAAAAAGGATTTGGAATTAAAATGTTCAATTCGTTTTGAACTTATTCATAAAAAGAAAAATGCTTTTATTACTTATATTAATGAAGAAGATGCTATAAGTGCATTAAGTAGTCCAACAAAAAATGTATTAGGAAAAGGAGATATTCATATTGAATTATGGAAATCAAAAAAAGAACAGAAACAAGAAATAAAACAAAATATAGAATCTATATATAAGGATTATAATTTAAAAATTAAATTACCGAAAAGTAAAATAATCAATGAAAAAAGTATATTTAATTGTTTCAAAAATTGTGGTCAGATTTATAGTATCTATATCCAAAAGCAAAAACAATTTTCAACTATAACTGTGTTCATTTGTTTCACTGATCAACAAAGTACTGAAAATGCAATTTCTCTTGCTGAAGAAAATAAGTGGGATGTAATTCGTGCAGTTGATATACAAAAAAGAGGAGGTGATAATGAAACACCAAAAGAAGTGTCTTTACAAAAAATAGACAAACCTCAAAGAGACGAAGACGTATTGATGAATGAATTATGTAGTAATATTTATAATTATCTAGTTGATTTTTATAATAGTAGTCAAATTAGAAAGATAATTTCTTCTTTAAAGGATACCCATTCCTTTTCTTCACTTCAACACTTATTTAAAGAAAATCATTTGGCGTTTGATAAAGTTATCCAACAGATAGTTAAGAAACAAATGCTATAAAATAATTCTTTTTCTACTATTTTTCTTTTCAAGTTTTTTGATAACTTCATTTTTCTCAGAAAAAAAAAAGAACAGAAAAGAAATTAATCAAAAAATCAATCAAATAAAAAGATTCAATCTTATTTTTTAGAAATAATAGTTTCCATAATTTGTTTTTTCATATTCATTAATCTTTTCCATTTAGTAATATTATTTCTGTATTCAATAATGTTCATCTTCTCAATTACTTTTCTTCCAATGAAATTTTTTTCAATTTCTTCATAATTACTATTCATTTCTTCAATAATTTTTAATTTACCATCAATTGAACTTTTAATAAATAATTTTTCAATAACAAATGAACCATTTTTATTCATACTAATTCTCCAAATTTTTCCTCTTATCATTTCAATTAATTGATTATTTTCTTCGTTAGTATTATATTCAATTATTTTTTCAACAACATGACTTCCTTCTTTATGATTAATATATTCTTCAATTCTTTGTTCTTTTAATTGATAAAATTCTTTCATCATTTCTTTCTTTCTTTGTTCAATTAAAATTTCAAGAATCATACAATAACCATACTCAATAAATTCTCTTTTTCCTTTCATCCATTCTTTTCTTCCTTCTTCAAAAATATTTCCTCTTCCACATAAATGATTTTTAATTCTTTTAATAAATTCATCTTCTTCTTTTTTATTACCAATTTTTCTAATATTTTTCATAACATTAACTATTAACATAAAATATTTCTTTGAAATAATAATATCTATTTCTTTCATTATCTTTTCAATTACTTCTTTTATTTCTTCACTTCTTTCAATAAATATTTGAATTACATGATTTCCAATCCCATCATTAATTATTTCTGGTGTAATATATTTTTGACTAAACATTTTTAAATTAATATCATCCATTACTTTAATACTTTCTTCTACAATTATAGACCAATTTGGATCATTAATTGGAATTGAATTATTATTAATAATTCTAATCATTTGTTTTCCAATATTTACTCATTCTATTTCTGATTAATTGAATTATAATTGGAATACTTTCTATTTCTATTTCATGTGTTTCTTCATCTATAACATATTCACTTATTTTTTCTTATT